GCGGCCCGCCGCACCCCCCCGCGGCCTCCAAAACAGCCCGCCGTGGCCCGCTGCACCCCCCCGCGGCCTCCCGGACGGCCCGCCGCCGCCTATCCGACCGCGCCGCCACCGCCTACCTGACCGCGCCACCGCCGGTTAGAAATTTTTTTTTATTTTGTTTTGTCCTCTAAAAACGATGTGCGTCTTATGGTCAGGTGCGTCTTATGGTGCGAAAAATACGGTAAATGAACCAAAATGGATTTGATAAGACTATATCTTGTTAAATGTAACAAAGGTTGAAAAAGTATGAGAAATCAATATTCTCTTTCACATAAAAAATGAAAATAGCATATTTATAGCAATGCAGCACTTACTCTGTCATGAAGTGTCCAACCAACATATTTTAAATAACTATCATTCAGGAAGGCATCACTGTACATTTTCATCCACACTCCAATTTCTTCAATACAAACAGCTCTAATCTCAGCAATAGCATCACTATAAAAAAACAATGTTGAAAATATATTGTTTAATTTTATGTATAAAATTACAGTAGTGTAATGTTTATTTTTTTCTTAGCGGTTTTCCTCCTTTAAATGATATGGCATTTGTCTTTTGTTGTCTCTAATGCTAATCAGCAAGGACAGTTTGAAATCAGAGTTATTTCATGTAGGTGATTTAAAGCATACAAGTATACAGAATTAAAGTTCTATGAAGTATCTGCACCCTTTCCCTGAATGCACAGCAGGAAGTCCATAAGTCCCATGTCAGTCCCAAATTTTATTTTTTCAAAATCCATCTTTTCCATGAAGTTTTAAGCATAGTCTCCATATCCCGCTGTTGCAGGAGATCATGTCAGTGTACATAACATTCTCTGATCAAACTTTCTCCACAATAGCACCTCTGTAGGGGGGGCGGGGGGGCTGAGTTAAGAGGAAATGATTGGCCCAAAGCCATCATGATATTTCCATGGCAATGGGTAGATTTGAACATGGGCCTCCCTGATTGTAATCCAACAATTTAAAATACATAGTTTAAACCATTTTATTACACATGTCTCATAAAATGTCAATTCCTGGAGTTTATATTCTGTCTATTTGATAAATTTTAAGCAAGACAGGGGAAAATATTATTTTTGACTGCTACTTAGGATTCCCAATGTCTTTTTACTCACCGATATCTATGGACAAATATTCCCTTGAAAATGGAATTCATCATATTTTCAATTTCATCCTGATTTTCTTGCAACTGAAATACAATTAAATATGCTTACTTTAATTCTTTTATTTAAACACATAAATAAATTACTATCCTGGGGCATGTCAACACAGTTAATAACATTATTCATAATGAAGCCTGACTATAAACATAAAATACTTATTATTCATCACCTAAATATCACGGCTACAGTAGATTAAATTCATTTTTAAAAAACATTTTACTGAAAATTTTAATTACAATAGTCAAAGAAAATATGAGCTAACCTTGACAAGAAAAGAGAATAAAGGAAAAGGAGAACAGTTATGTAGAAAGAAAAAGAAGAGAAAATAAAAAAGAAATATTTTAAAAAGTAACTTCTAATTTTCATCATAAGTACAAACTTGATAATTCATCACTCCCTATAAAGTTACATGCAAGTATCTATTTTTCCCATAAACTATGTTTTTTCCATATGAAAGTCTATAAATCAACATTATAGGCTTGCTGTCAGCAAGAAGTCCATAAAGGAACCCCAGATTTATACATACATCTTATTTTAACCTTGATCAAACAAACTAACTTTGTATTTTTTTCTTTTGCTTCCAACAATCTTCATCTTTACTTCATTCAGATGCTATTGTAGGATTTTATCTCACAATTTTTCTTTTTCCTATCTTGAATGTTTGTCAGATGCAGAAGATCAGTACATGTGAAATTCCAATTAAACTGATTTATTACTGTAGGATCCAATCTGGGTCGGTCATCGGGACCAGGGGTTTAGTCTTCCGAGCTTTCAGACTCGTGCTGGAACCCATCTTCCGGGAACTTCTTTCAAGCAGAGCATGTGCTTTGGGCTATTGTTTGTGTGGTATTTATATGGTGCCTGTTGCGTGTGCCTTTTAGATCTTGATTGGGGTGTTGATGCCTGGCTATTAATCTTTTGGCTGTTGTTTTCTTGTGCTGCCCAGATCTTGCCTCCTAAGTACTTGATAAGCTGGATGTAAATCAGCATTCCTGTTGACTGACCAGGGACCCATTTCCCAGGCTTCAATCACTTCCATAGCTGTTTTAATGCCTGCTTGTCCAACAATCTTAGTAGCTGCAAAATTGAATGTATGTCCTTGTTCACTGCAGTATGAGACGACCAATGAGTTCAGGTCTCCTCATCTGACCGCTCGCTTGTGTTCTTGCAATCTGGTGGTTAGCTTCCTCCCCGTCTGTCCTACATAGTCACGGGGGCAATCCATGCAGGAGATTCAATACATTACATTGGAAGTATCTCCCACCTCCAAGCAATCTTTAGAATAGTAATAGCACTTAGATTTATATACCGCTTCACAGTGCTTTACAGCCCTCTCCACAGAGTCAGCATATTGCCCCCAATAATCTGGGTCCTCATTTTACCAACCTTGGAAGGATGGAAGGCTGAGTCAACCTTGAGCGGTGAGACTTGAACTGCCAAACTGCTGGCAGTTTGCATTCTAAGCCTGCAGTACTGCATTCTAACCACTGCACCACCAGGGCTCCTGCATAATTTGTTCTCATATGGTAACCTCTGGGCAGTGCTATGCAAGGCCCACTCGCAGATATTGGAAGCTGCGTTCTACAGCTTTCAAAATACTCAGTGTGCCATACATCAAAAATGTTTCAGAAGCCTTAGAACTGCCTTAGAACTGCCTTTCGGAAGACTTAGAACTGCCATACATCAAAAACATTTCGGAAGCTGTAGAACTGCATGTGCCAGATGTTCCATGGGACATTTGCCAGTCCTTTGATTTTAGCTGCAGCCATCATCTCTGCTCCTTTGTAATTGTCTTAGCTTCCCATTTCTCACCCCAAAGTTCCAAAAAGATTATATTCCTGACTCTATATTTATTTGGAGTTGAAATAGGATACTATATGCATGCTTGAGGGCAAAATCCATGATGGTCTCACATATAAACAGAATCCACCTTCATTATGTTTAGATTGTCTAATCTGAAAAGATGGAGACGTATTAAAATTGTACAATAGGATTATGTTGCCAGATGTTTTTTCTATGCTTGGGACTTTTTCCAGATTATTTTGGATAGCAAATGTCCTATTGTGAAAACTGTTATTTGCAGTTTGGAAAAGAATCAGACCAGTAGCACAATCTCCAAAATATTCCCCATTTCACGGGGCCAATTCATAATATTGATAACATTAAGTATTTGGCAATGGAAAAATAAGGATGACAAACAAAATAGAAAACAACATTCAGGCAAAATCGGATTGGTTTCAAGCTACTGTTCATGTAACAGTCTACTTTAACAGTGATGACAACTAATTTCATGATTCTACATTAACTTTATGTGAACTGAATAATAAATCTTACTGCAAATAATGACATAAAAGTACATAAAAGAAAGCAGAAGGACCATTTTGCAATATATCTTATGGATAAAATTATTCACTTAACCCCTGCGATAAATTCTGTAGCCATCACAGAAACAGCTCAGTATTCTTTTGGGCTCCCAGACACATACTTTTTTTCTACACAATTTCCCCAAACATATTTTTATTTGCTTTTGTATTAAAGATATGCAATATCTGGAAAATATATAAACACTAATAACTTTCAGATTTGAACACTATTTATATGATGTACAAATTAAGTTGGGTGATAGCAAAATGTGAATCACATTTCTTTACCATCTTATCTCAGAAATCTGAAAAATATATTAAGTTCAGGTAAACTCATATGTTTTTTCTGCAGGCCCGTAATCATCTTAGTTACTCTTCATTGCACTTCTTCCAAAGTCTCAACATCTTTTTTGTAATGTGGTGACCAAAACTGGATGCAGTATTCCAGGTGTGGTCTTACTAAGGGTTTATAAAGCAGTACTTATACTTGATGTGATTTTGATTCTATGCTTCTGTTTATACAACCAAGGATTGTATTAGCTTTTTTGGCTGCTGCCGCACACTGCTGGCTCATATTTAAGTGATTGTCCATTAGGATTCCAAGGTCCCTTTCACAGTTACTGTTTTTGAGCCAGGTTTCGCCTATCTGTACTTGTACCTTTGATTTTTCCTGCCTAGGTGTAAAACCTTGATTTTCTCCACATTAAATTTCATTTTGTTGGATAGGGCCCATTGTTCAAATCTGTCAAGATCTTTTTGGATTCTGACCTTATCTTGTGAGGTGTTGACCACTCCTGCCAGCTTAGTGTCATCTGCAAATTTGATGAGTTCCCCTTCTACTCCCTCATCTAAGTCATTTATGGAAATATTGAAGAGTACTGGGCCTAAGACAGAATCTTGTGGTACTCCACTGCTTACTTCCCTCCATGTAGATGCAGTACCATTAAGGACTACTCATTGAGTAGTTTGTCAGTCAGTTACAAATCCATTTGGTGGTGATGCTGTCACCATTCTGCTGTTCAGAAAGAGACTTTAAATTTAGGTCATCTTAAAAAAAAACTCCCTGTTCCAAAATGGGAGTCTTTGCTGTGTGGTCATCTCATACACAAATACAGTATACTGCAAGTGACTCATGAACCTATACCAGTGATGGTGAACCTTTTAGAGACCGATTGCCCAAAAACTGGCCCTGCCCCCGCTCCCCCTGCCCCGCCCCCAGGGCCACTCACTGCCTCCAGGGCCCGCCGCAGATCGCCCAGCAGTGCCATGGCAGCCACGCCCTCTGCCCACGCCCCACATCATAAACTGTGAGCAATGGGGCGTGAGGGCAGTCTTGTCTACGCTGCCTGGCTGCCATGTCCTTGACTGCACTGCTCCGTGTGGGCCACACTCAGGTGTGACTCTTCTCCAGGAGGGCTGCTGGTGAGGAGGGGGTCATGGGGAGAGGCAAGGTTGGGGCAAGGGCACGTGTGCCCACAGAGAGAGCTCCAAGTGCTGCCTTTGGCACCAGTGCCATAGGTTCGCCACCACTGACCTATACAATCATACCGGCTTTAAACCCTTAGATCATCCTCTTGCCTGGGGCGGTGGGAGTCAAAAGGATATTCTTCTCTTGGGGGGTAACATTCTGTTTCAAGGTAGGAATCCTTGCTTTTCAGGAGGCCTGATATTATACATAGAAAGTGCTTACTTTTCCTCTCTATGCCCAGCTCTGAATTATATACTGTATTCTGGCTACTTACATATTTTTTTCTGTCTGCATCCATTACTTGCCCTCCTCCGCACCCATCCCAGTAAAAAATCAGACACTGAATCAAATCAATTAATTTTGAAATAATGGCCTCTCACAGCTTATTTATAAAACAATTTTAAATATTCAAATAAATTTTAAGATTCAAAAGAGTATGCAAACAAAATTTTTAATTAAATATTATTTTAAAGAAAATGTAAGTATATTTCACTACAGAAAGATAAACAGCTTTAGTTTAATGTATGAAAATTGGAAAAGTTAATATGCATTATTTTGTATATGGCATTTTATAATATTGCCATACTAAAAGTCAAGAGTTATCTGAAATGTTAATATCATTTTATTTTATGGCTGTTGAACCTCCCTTCTGTTGAATTTCTGGATGATAGATACAATGCTTTTTCTGTTAAATTTGCAGATTAAAGATGATATTGTCCATTTCATAACATTCTTTATTCCAGATTACAAAAAATCCTTTCTTCCATATATGACAGAATAGAAAACACTCCATTTGGACAGAGACTAAACTTCTTTTTTTGTATCCTCTTTTCATTGGAACTCCCAGTGAGAAGAGTGAAATTCAACAGAAAATCACCAATGCCAACTTGCTGTTCTTTCAATTTTTGGCAAGAAACTAAAGAGAATATTGGATAGAGTTAAATAACTGATTAATAATTGGGCAGTATCTCAAAATGGAAAAAGAGATTTTTAGATCTTACCTAATTACATCATGATACTACTTGTCACTTGATTGATAGTTATTATATTCTAATCAGTGGTTCTTAACCTTTTTGAACGAATCGCCCCCTTGAGCCAATGAGGAAGTTGTCATCGCCCCCCTCCCCCAACATAACCTCTCAATCACAACATAGGAAATAATTCTTCAATTTATGCAAACACTTTTTTTGTTTTCTTTAAAATTGTCATCAGGACATATCAATGCAAATAATTTATTTCCAGTCTTTTCCCC